CTTCTTTCTTCTCTTTTCATTGTTGCTCGTTTCTCAAGGAAAGGGGGGAAAGAACAGATCTTTCCTCAGCTTTCCTTACTGCTTCTCTATTCAGTTCAGTGGTTTTTTCCCAATTGGGTATTCATTTCCAGCTTTTTTTTTCTTGGGTTCATTTCGGTTTCTGGCCTTCAGCTGTCAGCTTCTTACTTTTTGCCTAATTGGGTTACCAAGGAAGTTGAAGTTCAGTGTTAGTTTTCAGTTATGACCTCCTCTACATAATAAAAAAGAACAAACTTATAGCAGCTGTTTTCTGTTATAAGAATAGAGAATTGTCGTCCCTGTTTCTATCAATTCTTTCAGGGTATTTGCTCTTTTTTAGTTTCTCTGCTGTTACTCTCTGAAGGTTCACTTGTTTAGATCTTAATCGTTGTGATTGGTTCTTTGTTGGGTTAGTCTGAGTATTTTTACTTTAGAGTTACATAATTTTGTTGATTTTCCTTGAAATTCTTATTTTTTTTATTTGAAAGTGTCTTTTCTAGATTCCTCAGGGATTGCCTATGCACTAGAAAAAGTATTCTGATTCCTTGCAAATGCTCCCTGATTTAACGCTGATATTTTCCCTTTGATACCCCCTACCTCTCGGCATTTCCTCTGTAGTTTCTTGTTCTGTTTTTGCCGGGTTCTTTTTACAATTCCATTGATATAAGTGAAATTCCATTCTCCGAGCGGTCAGTCATCTGAAACGATCAGTGAGTTAGGAACTTGTTTGGATAAAAATTCCATGTTTTGGTAGTATTTTGTGTTTAAATTTGGTGTTATGAAGTGGGAAATGGAAATTCTGTCGCCGACATCTTATATCTCCAGCACAAATTGGTTTCTTGAAGAGAGCAAGAGCACGAAATGGACACCAGAAGAGAACAAGATGTTTGAGAATGCCTTAGCGGTCTATGATAAGGATACTCCTGATCGATGGCAGAAAGTGGCTGCAATGATCCCGGGGAAGACGGTAGGAGACGTAATCAAGCAGTATAGAAAATTAGAAGCTGATGTTAGCAGTATAGAAGCAGGGCTGGTTCCAATTCCTGGATATAGCACTTCTCCATTCACATTGGATTGGGTGAACAGCCATGGCTATGATGGACTTAAACACTCATATGGACTTGGTGGAAAGAGACCTTCATCGGGCAGGCCTGCAGAGCAGGAGAGGAAGAAGGGGGTTCCATGGACAGAGGAGGAGCATAAGTAAGTTTTTCCCTTGAAATTTGTTCCGCTTATATTGTTACTTTACATGGTGTTCATTTGAGAATATGAACCTTTATTCAGTTAAGAGTTTTAGTAGTTTGTATGACGAATTATAATTTTACTGATTCTTTTAATGACCTATGTTATATGTTTGAATCAACATTAATTTTAGGTTTATGTATTATGTAATAACTAATATCTATTCTAATGATTTAGTTGAAATATTGGAGTGATAATTTTCCTGATTAATTTCTGTTTCGCTTGCATTTCATTGATGAGAATGATGATGGATTTTTCACAGATTGTTTCTAATGGGCCTAAAAAAGTATGGCAAAGGGGATTGGAGAAATATCTCGCGCAATTTTGTTGTCACTAGAACACCGACTCAGGTGGCTAGTCATGCTCAGAAGTATTTCATCAGGCAGCTTTCAGGAGGGAAGGATAAGAGAAGAGCTAGCATTCACGACATAACAACTGTCAATCTCAACGACACGAGAACACCTTCACCGGACAATAAGGGAACTCCTTCGCCGGAGCAGTCTTCAGTGCTCCCTCAGCAGCCCACTTCTGCTGCGATGCCTAGAACACACTTTCAATGGAATCAGCCTTGCAGTGGGGCGACAATGGCTTTCAATTCAACACAAGGAAATTTGTTAATGTCCTCTCCTTACGGGATTCCCTCCTATGGAGTAAAAATGCAGGGGCAGAGTCTGCACAGAAGTGCTGCTCATGAGTCTTATTTTGGACCGCAAAATTTGGTTTTTCAGATGCAATCGGCACAGCAATACCCTCACGGATGAGACATCAGCTACTCTGAGTTTCTCCTGGCTCGATAAGCCATGCCTTCTTTCAGTTGATTAGTATAGCTGTCTTTGTGCTTTCCCCATGGTTTTATGTGAATATGTCATCAAGAACTTGAGTTTAGTCCATAGCATTCAAACACGAGGGGATAGGATTGAGTTTTGCTAAGAATTTCGGAGTCTGAAATGAGAAACTCTGAAGGAAGATTCTTAAACATGGGTTTCCCACTTTCCCTTGTATTTAAGATTCTGTAGTTGAATCTGATTATCCCTTGATCAAATTGCTATGCTATGTGGTAACGGCTGTGAGCTTATCCAGAATGCATCGACAGATGGACATGCGGGATATGTGTTATGGATAAAGTTGTCTTAATAGTCTAGGAATATGATTTGAAGCATAAGAGAAGACTGCATTACTTTTGTACTACTATTTGGCACCTCGAGTAGGCTCCTCCAAGATAAGACGGGAGCGCACCATACATGTGCATCAGCAAGTAGGGTTGGAATTGCAGGTTCACATGGAGAATGAAGTAAACGAATAAGCATCTACAATCAGAAGTTGAGAGCTCACTAGATTAGACTGTTTTAGGCATAACCGGTTGTAAATATTCCAGGCAATGTTTGCTTTCATGTTTTCAGAAGTTCATCAATCTGGTTGGAAACTTTCGGCCAGTTCCATGTGTAAACCTTACTCATTTGGTTCAAACCAATGATTCCAAGTTTTCACCAGAAAACCAAATCTTCAAAATTTGCTGCTACGCCTGAAAACAAGGGCAAAAGTTATGATCTGTTTGTTGAAAGATTTTCAAGCATCCTGTGTAGGGTCTACACTTCTAGGTAAAGCCTAAATCTTTACAATCGCTGCAGGTTTTGGAAACTGGTTTGGAAACTCCATTATTTATTGAACAAAAGTTAAAACACAGCCGACTGGATGCTCAGTTCAAATTGGCTGAGTCACAAGGCACTTGATTTGGAATTCCATAGCATCAGATTGCCCTTTCCAACTATTCAACCTCTTTAGACTATTGCACTAACCCATTTTCGTACACCCCAAATGGCCTACTTGACTGTTCTTGACCTTCAAACTTTAGTCGAGGCTGACTCTGAATTCCACTAACTTTGAGCATCATATTCTTCTATGCCCCCTCTCATTCTTGGCAATCTTCCTTCATTATGAGATCTTTGTTAACAGATCCTCTCCCAAAAGAAGAAGATTCCTCCTTCAAAGTATAGGTTATTAACTTACACTAAGAGAACATAGTGTACAAAAGCAAGATTCAGGTCAGATTACCCTATTGATTTACTAGCTTATTTATATGACCTGCGGTTCATCTTTTTGCAGTGACCGTCTCCTACAATCTTCTTGTTAGTGGTGGAAAAAATGTTAGACACTTACCTTGGCTCAACTCTTCTTGTTAAGTCTATGGAAGCATCATGATTTTCTGATACTAAGCGTAAGCGGAAATCAACCTAGTGAATGCAATAAAGGCTGCACTTGTTTCTAAACCTTAAGCTCAAAAATTGTGAACTCCTTCGAGGAGACAGACAATTAAGCTTTTTTCATTTGGTAGAAAAGAGTTTCTCTACCTTTTTGCTTAACCACAATCTTTATTTTAAAATTTGTGAATGGGCCTGGAGATTCCCTTTTGGTGGAAATTTCATTGACCTTAAATTTGCTTCATTCTTTGAGGAAAAAGAAAGGGAGCAAGGAATCTTCTCCCTAATTAAGTGTTTCTTAGTAAGACAAAGTAACAATGATTATTAACTAATACATCCATAAAGTTCATTGAGGTAACACATTTCCCTTCAGCCATCAAGTTAGGTTTAGCCTCCTTTTCTTTCTTTCTTTCTCTCTATGAAACATAAAAATCTTCTGATAAATCAATTGTGGCATTGAATAAAACTGATTTATTACCTTATACAGGGCAAAACAACAATGATGAAGGATCAATCAAAAGTAACTCAAGTAAAGTTGCCAATAAGCATTCAACTTAGGTTTCTTGATGGCCATGATTATTTAACTTTACATCCCCTTTTTCTCTCTCAATCTCTTTGCATGCGCGTGTGCATACACATATACACACACGCTGATACACTGCACTGACATGCAGGGACTCGTTTGCCATATCTGATTGCGGGCTTAATCATGTGACTGTTAGTTTGTAGGGCATCATAGCAAGTTCTTGTAGCGCTTTATTTTGATTATGTGTTTGTATTTTAACATAATGACAAATGGTAAAAACAAAGTTCAATTCTGTGTGCTCTTGCCATTCCTACCTTTTCTGAAGCCGTCTTCTAGCATTTTGTTAATATTAGCACCTGTGTTTTACTGTGCAGAAGGGAAGCATCAAGAAAAGCCTAGTAACCACCCAAATTAAGTCGCTTGCATGTAGTATATTCAGTCCGACATATCAAGCAAAGAATACAGGGAAAACATTTAGCAATATGGTCATTCCAAGTAGCTTTCTTTTTGAAGGTAGATTGACAAAACTAACCACATCACCCTTTTTAAAAAGGAGAAGTCTTTCTGGAAGTTGATGGGAAAAAGAAGCTTGCCAAGTTTGTTCTTATTTCTTTTTGTTTTTGAACAGCGATGGATTTATTAATAGGGTCTCCCAGAGGAGACTTCGAAACCAGGGCCTCAACAGGCTTCCTGGATACAAAAAGTTCTCAGTTGAGGACTGGCAGTCATTAGAGATATGGATGTGCCTACAGAAACATGAAAAAGCAAATATAGTTCAACTTAAAGCATAAAAGGCAACCCTTTACAAGACTATAGAGTGACCCAAGCTATCCACAAATCAACAGATATTGACATTAAAATACGCATTGTGGTTGGTGACCCTTATTGCTCAAGCCTTGGCCAATCCATCATATTTATTCTTATTTTGATCAAAACCTTAAGTTGTTATGACCGCATATACTGTGTCATAATTTCACACTTTCGGTTATCTTGTTTTTTTCTGAACATTGGTTCTGATTCTTCACGTATAATGCTTCTGGTTTGAAAATAAGACTAGAAAAACCTGAGATATGTAAGTGAAGAACCTCTTATCTGCAGCTACCTGGGGAACAGGTATTGTATCTCCTATGCTGCTTCACTGGCCCAAACAGATTTCAAGATGATCTAATTCTTGGGTTTTTGTTACATTTCAAAGGATAAAATGAAGTAATACTTGTATCTCAGGCTACCATTAATCAATGCAATCAAAACTTACAAGAATGTATACTGTTTCATGTGAAACAAATCAGAATACAACAATGTAGTTTGAAGCATCTTAGGACAAAAGAAAATGATAAAAGAGAAAGGACATACCATGATCATTAGTATTATTGGGATTTGGTTAAGAATCTGAGGCGGCATCAATTCTCTGTCCTGAGATGTCTTCTTATTAGATAAGAACCAAAAATTCCCCCTTTTTGTGGATCAATTCCATCCTCAGAAATGCATCCATGCATGCTAAGATGTCAACCTGAATTATGCTACTGGAAAAATCATAAAATCACCATCAAGAAAAAGGAATGACAGGCCCCAGACATCGCTAACATAATTGTGACTTGGAAACTGTGAGAGATTGCGGGGCAACAACAATGTAGTTGAGTTAATTCAAGGGCAGCTTTTCAGGAAAGGTCCAAAATCAAGGATGAAATTCGCCCATGGACCAGATGTTGTGCCTTAAATGTTAAAAAAGGAAAGAAACAAACATGCACTGCTGGCTGGCCTGGGCCATGAATTATTTAGCCTACAGGTTTCTGCTTAGTCCTCACAGCATGTCAATCCAAAGCCGAGCGGAAACAAAGGATCACATGAATTATCTTCGGTGTTAATTGGCAGCTGTTTGATTGTCCTAAACCATGTCATTGGTAGTCGACCCTCAAATTCATAGTCCCCATAAACGACATCAGTTATTCCCCTTCCTTCAGTTCCAGGCAACCAAGCAGCAATCAGAGCATCCACCTTTTCCAAAAGCCATGGCTCTATAACCAAGGGACTTCCTGATATCAAAATTGCCAATGTGGGGATTCTTTCAGCAACTGAACTCATTAACTCACTTCCATTGAAGGGGATTATAAGCTCTGAGTTGTCTCCCACAGATTCTGCATATGGTTCTTCACCAACAGCCACAATGGCGAAAGAAAAGTTCTGCCTGGCAAAGCTGTCTGGTGAAGGATACTTGTCATAAATCACCTCTGTTTTTTCTCCCACGGCTTCTCTCAAGGCATCCAAGATTGTTGTGCCTAAAAAGAAATAAAATGCATGAAACCAATGTCTACAGAAAATACAATGCAAATCCTTTTTACAGTTCTAATATCAGATCAAACCATGGAGTTAGAATCCGAACAAACAAAGAAGTTTAACATTTTAAAGAGATCAAACTCCACACGTTTTACATTTTTGTTTTTTGTTTCGGAAGATGGGGATGGCGGAGGGAGCGAAATTACTGATATCTAACTTCCTTAAAATGGTCAAAACTAGAGATTTGAAATCAACTACTAAAGGAGGAATGTAATGACTGATTAATCAGGTAAGGTAAGTAAACTTTCCAAAAAAAAAAATTCAGATAAGGTAAGTAATACTTATGTATTCTAGACGAAATTCAGTGGCTAGTAGGGCAGCATACTACATTTACTTGCTGTTAAACATGAAAGAGAAGATAGAAGATATAGGGAAAAATCAAAGGAAAGGAAGCGGGTGGGGTTTGGTAGAAGAAGGAAAGATAGTTGATGTAAATGCTTACCGATTGTAATCCTGCCACTGCTTCCCTGCCAGTAACGTGTCCACCCTCCACACTGGTATCCAAGATCGTCAGCATGTGTTCCTGCAACAAGAATTCTTTTGGCATTTTTGTCTAACGGAAGGAATGGCTTTCCTTGATTCTTTCCGTTTTTCAATAGAACCAAGGACTTGCAAACAGCTTCACGGGCTAGTTCCCTGCGCAGCTGCAAGAAATCATAGAGGTATGACAGTGAATCTACAAACTGAAGTTTAAAATCAACTAGAGCTTTTACAAAGAGAGTAAGCTTAGGTAAGGCATTCAGATTCTACAACAAATGACAACTGTTTCAAATAGCAATAAAATTTTGCATGGAAGTAAAAGGTAAAACAAATGCAACTACTTCTTATTTTAAATTACTAGGATTTCTCATGGCTGCTGGATTTAGATGGCTGGAGAGGTGGGGGATTTGGGTAGAGATCCTGGCTTTGAGCCCTAGTGCTCAATAATATTAACGTAGGATATCTTACCCCTATTATTACTATAAGGTTTTTGAACACCCTAAGGGGCAGCATTTTCATTACTGCATCCTCTTTGAACTTTTCCTCCGAACTCTATGATCTCTGATTCTGATATATTGATGTTTATGCAGTTTTATTTAATCAAAGAACACAAACATAATATAAATGCTTGATAATTGGAACATGCCTCTGTAAAAGTATATCCTTTAGAACAAGATAACAACCAATTGTATTCCAAGCAATACGGTTTGGTGAGACATTGGCGAAACGTTGCATGGTCCAAGAACAACGTAGCAAATATGATTGAGGTGAACAAATTGAATGCCGAATTCTACAAAATTTACCTTGCAGCCAACCATATCTAGCAGAGATCTGTCAGAGAAGGGATATTCAAAAAGACCAGCAACAAACTTTACTGTCAGTATTCTTTCAACAGCATCATCTATCCTGGACATCTGTATCTCCCCTGATTCAACCAGGGATGTCAAATTCT